CCACGTTTTCCCATTAGGATCTGTGGCCTTTGTACTATCTCATATGTGTGTTATACATTCTAAAGATTTTAATAAAGAGTTGGTAATCATTGATAATGTTGAGGATTGACTGAATCTGGAATCTCTATGCAATCCCTACTTCTCCAACTATCATACACTCCACAAAGAGTGTGTTTTATCATTTTCAATGTTTGGGAAAGAGATTTATCAAAACTATGTAAAACAAAGACATACTTTGAAGTAAGAAATATATAATGCTGAGTTAGTCTATCAGAAAAGGAATTATCTACAGTTCCAAAAATTTTACAGAGGAAATTAGTGAAATTTAATAAATTTAGAGCATATTCATATTTTTAATTTATTATAAATTTCTCTCAGATAAGAAACAAAGTTGGCTGACAGAGAAAAATATCACTTTGCTAAAAGCACATTTCCATTTAAAATATAATAATATTAAATTCCATAGCAACAGTTCATCAACCAGTTCTGCCAAGTTCTCTCAATACATACATTTCTCATTTATTTATAAGCATTTCCTACATTTCAATAATAATACCTTACATTTCTAAAAGCTTTACAGTTTACAAAGTATTCTGTATTTCTACTGCAGCAAATTTACAGAGTATTTGTGACACAGATAATATTTTGCTTTACGGATGGAAATTTTCTAATCATCAGTAACTGAGATTGTAGATTGTATATAACTAACCTAATTGGAAAAGAAATGTGTTTTAAGCATTTAGAAGCAGTCATTTAAATGTGAGAAATTGATTTGAAAATTAAAGGTTATTCCTTTTTAAAGCTTTATGTGGCCTCAGCTATCCAGCCGGTTAGGCAGAAGTTTTCAAAGGTAAGAATTATACATTATATAGATGATATTCTCTTGTGTCATTGTAATGATAGCGTACTTCGCCAAGCTTATGCGTCCCTTCAGGCTCACTTAAAGGAAAAAGGCTTGCTGGTCGCTCCAGAAAAAGTGCAAGAGAGAGAAGTAGGTGCGTTTCTTGGTAGTAGCATTCTCCCTGACAAAATTGTGCCTCAAAGACTGTCCATCCGAAGAGATGCCTTAAAAAC